TATATATATAATGTGTTACTGTGTAATGTGTTACTGGGTTTCAATTGCCGTTGTTTATAAATACAGAGCGTCTGACACTCTTAATAAACCAGTTAGACCGTGTCCAGACCTCTCCTTTCATGCTTGACAGCTCCAGTTTAGAATTTATGTGTGACACTCTATGCCTCAGAACATTTTAATCTGAGATCCCACTGAGTAATTAAGAAAAGAAGTGTGTGTGTGGCATCTCAGCCACAGTTAGGAAAATGAGCTCATAAATATATATAGACCAGACAAAAAAACTTTCTAATGCTAACAAAATACAAAGACTACAAAAAGATTTTTTTCGTTTTGTTTTTTTGTTGTTTTTTGAGAGAGCGTACTGCTCAACTTACCTAAAGCTAGTGATCACCTAAAAGTTGGCGCAGCAAGTAAAAGGCCACCGCACTTTTGAAACACTATTAAGTGTTTCTGTGAATAACACACTAACATTAATTACAACATGCCTTACCTTGTTGGCAGATAAGGATAAAGTGTGCAGCCAGTAGCAGCCAGAAGCCTGTAGTCTCCATGTTGGTGGAAAATACTCGTAAATGCGGAAAATAAACAATGTAGTGTTTTTTATGCAGAGCGAGAGAGAGTAGGTCCACGACCCTCACAGCTCCATATTGTACTATGCAGGCTGTGAGTTGGCTATTTACGTATGTGTAGTACAGCTCGCAGGTCCCAGTGTGCGACGCCGTTTCGCTCTGTCCGTTGTTCTTCACGCAGTCTGGCTGACTGGAGAGGAGCGGCCACACCGAGGCGGTGCGCCGCCCACACTGGCTCACTGGCTCAATTCCTCCACACGACCATTAATAGAGACACTGGCAATTACACGACTTCATTCAGCCGTTAATTTTGTATTTATTAATTGATATTTGTGTCAAGGTAGAATAGGAATTAAAATAGTGCAAAAACATTTTAAAGTTTGGTTTGGTTGGGGAGAAAGATTAAGAAGAAGTGAAAGTAATAAGGATATGAAACAAGGGAGAAGAAAATGAAAATAAAGAACTAAAGAAGATACATAACTTAGGAAACACTGAAGGAAACATATTAAGAGGGAAAGGGGGCACAGCAAATGGAAATAAGATATGACAGCAGTAAATAGATGAGAAAACTAAGGTCATAAATAAGTCGATTTAATCTAATCATTATATCATTTGATCTAGTTATTCAAGAATTTGTGTGTTTGCATTTAAGTGAAATATTAAAAGGGAAAACTATGTTTAGTAAAAATTATATGATAAGGTTGATGAGTAAGCTGGATAGATTGTTCTTGGGATCCCCCAAACCTGCTGAGACTTGTCCTATCGCCTATACAAGTGCACTTCAGGCATAAGTGGTCTGTCTAGCATTTAATTGGCTGATCAAGGGACTTCAAACCTCTCTGTGAAATATCTGATTTTCTGGAACAAGAAGCTCCCGTGTTTATCAAATGGAGGTGGGTGATACTACTAAATTTGGTATTGATTCATTGTCAAGTAAATCCTGGTCCAGGATCAGAGATGTTAAAGTAACTGCTCATTTCCAGCTCCACGTTTTTATTTTTGGACTCTACAAGAGTAAATAAATACTTACACAGAAAAGCAGACCCGGTTCCACCACTTTAGTCTATACCACTCCAGGTACATTTTGCTTTCTCAAAGTTATCGTACAGAGAGGGACTGTGGAAATCCATTTGTGTTCTATTGTTAACCAGGTTACTCTTAGCCTCTATGCTATAACTGAGACTTGGTGAGGATGTAAGCCAGTCCTCAGTGGCCAAAGACAACTGTTAGCAGGTTTAATTCATCAGAGTGACAGCTTGTGTGTGTTTTACAGTTGAAATGTAAGTAGAATTTGTTTTAATGTTCTTGTCTTTACAAGAAGTATGTCACAAAAAAAGGAGTCCCCTTCATCTGCTCACTTGCACCTGGCCTTGCTAAAGTGGTTTGAGTGCTCAGCGTATAAAAGTGCTTTAAAAGAACCAGTCCATTTACCATTTACTCTTTGATCCACGGTAAGTTTTTACACATTTCTAAGCAGATGCACATGTATGTACTTAGGCTTAGACTAAGCTTCATATTATTATTCTTGGAATCCACTAGAGGATATTGTAAGCAATGCATGGTGACATTGAGATATGCAATAACTCACACATAATTACTTTCCATTTACATGACATACCATTGTAAAGGTATGGCTTCATTAAATTAATTAAAAATATGACAAAAGTATCTACTTTGGTTCAAAGTGGTGGGAGTGTGAGTCTGGTTGGGTCAAGATTAGCAACCAAACTGGATGAAATAGCTATGCACAGTATAATATGTGTGCAAATGTACAGTATGCTGTGTGTGTGTGTGTGTGTGTGTGTGTGTGTGTGTGTGTGCGTGTGCGCGCGCGTGTGTGCGTGTGCGTGTTCATAAGGGGATGGTCTTGTTGCAGTGCAATTTTTTAATTTAGCTGTGGTGGTCCTCACTGTGTTGGCTAGCACTGCATAGATGTCTGGTCTGCTGTTTGGACTTAACCTATTCACCAGAGTTGAAATACAGATTTAACAATATTTTTGAATTTTAATGGACACAAATTAACATACAAGGCTCAGACTCTCAAAAATAAGCTTTTGGGACAAGACTGACGGGAGCCAGCACCCTTTAGTATTTGGTTTAAGATCATTCTAAAAATAGAGGTAACTAGTTTAGTTTGTTGAAAACATGTTTTGGAAACTGTTGTGCAAAAGTACTGAACCACCCATTTATTTGTTTTTGTTAGGGAAATAGGTGCAGGGATTTATTTATAATATGCAACCAAACATGAAAATACAATATATAAGGTAAAAAACAGAGTTTGTACTAATTACCTTGGAAGTCAACATTTGGTATGAGCAACTTTATTCTTCAACACAGCCTGAACTTTCTGAGGGAGCTTTCTGCTAGTACCTACAGATGTTTAGTTAAAAATCGATTCTTTGCTAAGTTGTCTGTTATGTGTAGATACAACACTGGTTGATCCCTTGGACTGACATTGAGTGAAGAAAAGCCAGTAAAATAAACCACAACAACTTTGAAAGACCTTCAGAAAGCCTGGAAACCATTGCTCAAGGTACTTGCTCAATTTTAAAAAAATTAAAAGAAAGTCTAGATCCTTGGAAGTAAAATTCAGTATATCAGCTTCTTAGCAGGCAGCTCACACTATACCAACTAGTGGATCAGAAAGTTCAAATTAGCTAGTAACTTCTAGTGGTTTAAGCTACATTAGCTAATGTCGCTATTTATGTTTGCAATTTAGAGTACAAATAGAAATAAGCAGACACTTTATAAGTCCCCACATTATCAGAACATTTTGAACTTTTGCTATATTTCAGTTAAAGTACATTTTAAATCTGCATCACTGATTTGTGTTGCAAAATTATCTTTTTGTCTTCTTTCTGCCACAACAACAAAAGTCTTATTTATTCTATTAATGACAAACTATGCTGTGAAAGTAGCATTGCCTCACTGTAACACCATGAAAACAAAAATTACAACACTGGACATAAAACCTGTTTTTATTCTAGCCTGTACTGTCAATAGACAAATCAGGAAAATCTCAGCTGGACATCTGTCAAAGCTGGGAAGGCACCTAGTGGCTTCAATACGGTCCAGTCCATCTGGGCTCAGCCCAAGTCCTTTTGGGAACTTGTACTCGCACCCAGTCAGCTACCTTTACTACAGGCATCTGGACCTGTTTAGAGTTATCTCGAGTCAGATTGGTTAGAGCAGTCATGTGCTCATCACAGCCTATCTGCCAGTTGTCTAAAGCAAGGAGATGTGTTCCCAGTCTTGGGGTCCAGGCATTGGACACACTGTCAAGAGTTCATGTGGAGTCAAATGTGTCTTACTTTGCAGTGAGGATATTAATGCCAATCGTGCCAATGTCATTTTGGTTGCTCTTTTTATAATACCCTGAGATGCCAGATGATATACTGCCCTGAATCGGTGCGTTATTCCTAAAGCTCTCACAACCTCAGTGCTTATTATTAAAATGTGACCCTTTGCCAGACCTGATGATTCTTGGCACTCCCTATCATAGTCACAGTCAGAAAATTGCTTCCACCCATTTAGCGAATCTGTCCACCATTACCAGTAAGTATATTTATCCCTTTGTTCTGTGTTCAGCTCCCATGACAGTGAAGTCAATGCTAATGTCTTTGAATGGGGCGTCTGGGAACTTTCCCACGAAAGGGTTGTGCTCATTGCACTTGAGAGAGTGAGCAATGTAGTTCTACAAAATGTCTCCCATTTGTGGGTACCATCACAATTCTTCCATATTTCTCTGAGTTAACCTTTTACTGACATGCACAGGGCCATGTGCTTGCTTGATCAGAGGCTGACAAAGTTTCATTGGTGCCACTATTCTCCCATGATGTGAACAAGAGCCCATCCGTCTGTATAGCTCCCCTTTTTATCCATTCATTGATTTCATTGGCTCCTGCTTGTTTCTGCATTCCCATAATGTCTTGTCTTCAGTGAGTTGTGGTAAGGTTTCTGTCGTAATTACCATCGTCGACCCATAGCTTCATGTCTGTAGGTTTAGTCGATGTCCCAAGTGGGGATTGTTGTACCACTGCAAATGAGACCACGTTCCCCTTCTCACCCTCCCAATCGGGTGAGATCAGGATCTTCTAAAGGCTCTGTCCTCAGGTCTGGTCTCAATCTGATGTCCTTTACAGCCACCTCAGCATAGTCATATGGCTCATGTTCTTTGGAAGTCATTCCAACTGCCATGTTAATCCCTTCTGTTCAATAGGTGTTGTGTGGTTTTATCAAAATGCTGCAGATTCTGGGTTTTCTGGCTGGGGAAAAAATGAACGCACATGAGCTGAGAAATGTAACCACTCTGTGATTTGTGCTTACTATTAGTGGGTGGTACATTACAATGTGGCTAGGTTTTTTTTTTTCAATAGCTTTTACTAGGGCTGCAAGGTATTGAATGTATCCAGCTTGGCCTTTTCCATGTCCAGTCTTGAACTGTAGTACATCAGTACATTTTCACCCTTTACTGTCCAAATAAGTGTTGCTGTCAAGTTTCAGTTGCCAGCTTGTGCCACAATGTCACAAAGAGGTTGGGTAATATTTACATAATGTATGATTTAGACTCTAACCAGCCGAAAAAAGGCAGCTCTAAAAAGCCTAACATCTGCTGAACAGTCAGTGGTTTTCCATTAATCAGTATTGAAGTCCATTTAGAGGTTGTCACAATGTGTCTTTTAGGCTTCATTTTAAAATTCTTATGTTTGTTTTTAAATGCTTTCACAATCTTGCCCCGCCCTACCTCTCTGAGCTTCTTCATCCCTACACACCTTGTCGGTCTCTTAGGTCAGCTGGCCCAGCCCATTCTTACTCCTGAGGCGTAATATACTGACGATTTGTCAAGTCCTGAGGGTTCTCATGTTTATGAATGTCCCAATACACACACCTGACCTCCACCTACTGTTCCTCCAGAAGTGCCCCCCAGACAAACCACAGTTTGGTGGACCATGGACCATAGTCTACTGCATCCCAAGTCCACCATAGCCTGAGTATCCAACTATGACAAGGCTGTCAGTGGACAGTGGCTTCTAAAGTTGATGGAGCTGAGCTCGTTGGTAAGGATGTGTACAGACTTCAAGGCTCATGTGGCGAATGACAGTGAGACGTGGAGGGAATGATGGACCGACCTTGTTAAAATGTCTCTATATTCACAGTATATTTCTTTAGGTTTTAGT